ATTAATAAATACATAAATAACCGCACTCCTCTCGGCGACTGGTTCATATTCTGTTCTGTAGATACGTTTTCTGTCTAATAGATATGCATTCCCAATAAGCATATGCTCATAGTTGTATGCTTTCAGCGTACCATACTTCGAAACCCAAAACCAAATATGTATTGAAGAATTAAAGACCTCAATACGGCCAATTTCGCACCCAACTCGGCTGAAGCAAGGGATTTTGGCAGCGAGCAATGCGTTTTCTTAATATGCAACGAACCATTTAGCTGGACGACGTAAAAAATGCAGGGAACAATGCCATAATGAGCAAATCTTTGCAAGTTTCCACTCATTGTATATATGCTCATTGATTTGCAGCATCTGAGTTTTCCAAAACATGGGACTTGAAAAGAGATTTTGCTACACAGCAGTACTTCAGTATTTAACCAATAATTAGCTAGTAATTTTTATTGCGACTGAAGCACTCCATCCATTCTTTTAATATAGATACTTCAAAATATGAGAGCTGCCCATTCGAACCCTATCTTAAGCTGAGGCCTGAGGGGCTGAATGCATACCAGATAATCTGTAAAATAACAGTACCAGTACCGGTACTTCTGTAGGCCCTGGGAATATAAAAATTCATAGTACTGTGCTATAATCCTGGTATAAACTTCCAATTACTATCTAATAAATCGCAGAACAGCAGAATTACTACCGGTATGCCCCTACTCCCACAACTTACGGTATGGTACCGACGCAGGGATGACTGACAGATGCCACGACCCCATCCATACCTTATCCTAATGCCTCAGTATATATTTTCAGTTATTTCCATCAATAAAACCATTCCAAATACGCAAATAAATTTGAAAGGAAATCTTCTACCATACGCTTCAGTATATAGCAAACTGATGACGTTGTAACGCATCGCTCATGCGTAGCGAAAGCGCCGTGGGCGAACTATATTCAGTTAACCATGGTACAAACTCCTTTTCCGACTGACTCTCTCGTTTTAACTTATTTTCCTTTTAAACAATTCTCTCTTAAGTGACGTTTTATCTTCGATCCACATTTTCCAAATGTATTCTAAATACTAGTTATTTGACGTCATCTGCTGCTGACCACGGCAATTTTGGTGTCGCTGACACGACGACTTGATAGTTTATTCGCGGCTCCTCGTCAATTGCAATCGAAATATTGTGTTATTTTTTTCCAATAGATTTATTTTTGTGTTCTTTGTTTTAATAGTGTAATATTTCATGCATGACGGAAATAAATATCTGTATCTGAATCTGAACCAAACTTTCAGAATTCAAGTTTATTTACTTAGAGCAAATGAAGATGAATGTAGGACACGGCTAATTAAGCAAACAGGCAACCGGGTCACGCGATCTATCATTGACAGAATTTTTATTGAAAAAAATTGCTACATCACTGGCATATATAAAAAACGCGATGATGATGATGCAGATATCGTTGAAATAATATGGATTTTAGAAATCTCGCATTTTCTGTTTATCTCTGTAATAATCAATACCCATGAATTATTGTGGATTGGGAGTTTTTGAAGAATTGCATTACAGGCCAGTAGTTTTTTATTCAGTGAAATATTCAATACTGGCGAAGAATTGCTTTAGGAAAATGGGACATACAGGAATTATAGTATTATACTTCCAAGGTTGGATGATGGAAAGAGTGCGCTCCGATTGTACTAGAATTTAAGATATTTTCCTTTTGAAATTTTCCGTTTGCAAATGTCACTGATCTTGACTGCGTAAATTGTAAAGTTAAAAGTAATCAGGCTGATAGAATCACCTGGTCTAGGCGAACACCATCTTGACAGGGTTAAAACGAACATTTAAATGTACTTTTCACTACTTATTTGCCTAATTTGTAATAGATCTGTAAATTAGGTTCATTATTCCGTTCAGAAGTCATTTACCAGATGTACAACTTTCAGAAAAATCATTATCAGAATTTATTTTTCACCAAATAAAAGATCTTGGAGATAAAATTGCTTTGGTAAGTAAGTCCTATTGAGGAAATATCAAAATGGCAATATACCTTGCCCAACGGAATATAATATAGATATTAACATATATATATATAATTAACATATAATATAGAATTTTTTTAAGTCGGTTGTTGTTCAATTTTCAGATGATTTAGTGAATAAATTGCAAAATTTTCAGCCATTCTTAAAGTCGACGTCCATGGCATTCCAGTCATGAAATTTATTCAACATAAGTATGGCCGCTCGTGTTATAATATTCAAAATTACTAAATTTGCATCTGATTATGCATGTGAAGCCTCGCAATATGTTAAGCAAGTTAGGAATATATGCACTTTTCATACTTGATTTATTATACAATAATTTCACTCAAGTGACACATATGTTTCCGCAGATTTATGTATTTTCATATTTGGCCACTTTGAAGAAGAGGCAAGCAAACTTTTACCTGATTAATAATGTGTGATCCGCATTTGTATAACATTATTGAAATAATATAAGCATTTTATGTGTATCGTATTGTTATTTACATTATATTATTATTTATTAACGTGTGTCATTTACACAGTGAATTTGGTCGAAAAAAGATCTTTTTGTAAGTACTTACCAGACATGCGAGTAGATTGGTGTTCATGAGTGCTGTCATTTGTAGCGCTTGATCATGTGAAGCACGGCAAACCATTGCGCACCATGAGTTAACTGCTTAAGTATTCTCGCTATTGTTTGGTAACATACAGAATAATATATCATTGAACATCAAAACGCAATTTTATTCAGGTTGACAATTCAATCGGTGGAAAGTCGCTAACATTCAAGCAAGTCTATGACCAATCAAGAAACTGTGCTGGGTATTTACGCAAAGCGGGACTTGGTAAAGGAGATGTTGTTGGCCTTTGTTTTCCCTCTTCACTCGAGTTCCCAGTGGCAATGTTGGGTATCCTTGCCTGTGGCGGTGTTGTCACTCCTTGTAACCCTGCGTATAGCGTAGGTAGGTATTTGGTGCTCCAAAATTGACCTGATCCCAGATTTGTTTCACATTATTGATTTATGTACAATACAAACCAGTACTTACTGGCATCTCCGCGTAAAACATAAATATAATATCTCACATTCATATATCATTTTTCTGGATTAGGCTTTGCGTACACTTTGCGTATAGCTTTCAAACAAGCAAACTATGATTTTGTACTTCGTCCGTTGGGCAATCTGATTTTTGCTGCGCTTCAGCTTTTTGTCGAAAATTAATGAATGAATATCACTTCATATGAATATTCTATCTTCTGCTAAAGAATTATATCATATAACATGAATTTACTCCATATGTTCAATTCACCATTTACACCACAATATATATCTACCCTGACTCAGAACAGTGGGACATGTGTAGCAAAGTGGGAAAATTGAGCCATGAAATTAAGACACATCTGTTTGAAACAATCCTTCTCCACATTAGACAAATTAATGATTTTTGATGGCTTTGACAGGACAATTTTTATAAATAACTTACCCACAAACCTTCAACTCAGCATGGTTGTGGGCCTACAAATGTTTTTTATTCTCTGCCGAAAGAAAGAAAAACAATTTATTCTAATAACGAATTAAATAAAGCCTAACTGCTATTATGAACGTTTCTGTTTGAGAAAATCACGACAAAAATATATTTTACAGGAGAAATATTACAACAATTTCAAAACCAAGGATGGTGTTTGTACACGAAGACTGCTTGAATACAATGAAGGAAGTCCAGAGAAAAACTGATTCGTTAGAGGTAGCATTCATCAGATAGAAACGTATTTTTGCTAATTACAATAGGCTCACTTATTATTTGTAGTAAGCTGCCGCACTTTTCTTCCACGTGACGATGATTTGCATACATTATGCAAGGAATACTAGTGCAGTCAGTGAATCCACACCGATGACATCCTTTTGAAATTTTCAGACGTTTTTATATACAATGTATAGATCTGTTTGTATATTTAATTAATTTCTCATAGATGTTCATAATATTTTAAATATTATAAATTTTAGAAAATGTTTATCATTGGAGAAAGCAATGAATTCATAACAATGAGCGAGATGATTGGTGACGAATATAGTGAAGGTTTGTTATATACAAAACATTTTACTTATAAATTCCATCACTATATTCCAATTCATTAACCCATTCATATCACTAATCCATTCATAACCCATTCATATCACTATCCATATGTGATATTTCTTTTTTCAGATTTCCCAAAGCACATTGCTATCAACGCTGACAAAGATGTAGCTATATTGCCGTATTCTAGCGGAACGACGGGTCTCCCGAAAGGCGTTATGCTAAGTCACAGGAATTTAACATCCTCCTTCTTGATTTTTCGGTGAGCTTTTTCTGATAAGCAGGTAGTTCTAGCATGCTGGAAACATAATGGCGTGAATCGAATATTGATTTCCCGATAATACGTGTTTAATAAAAAGGGTGTTTTTGCAGAACGATTGAAACCAATGTAGACTCCGATATAATGTCAAATCTAAAATTTCAGTGACAGTGTACACCATGGAAACTCAGATATTTCATACTCGGACCGTCCAATGTATCATGCGGGTGGATTCGGGGGGTTAATTAGATCACTATATATCGGACAAAAGCTTGTTTTGGAAAAAGAGTTTGATACGAAGACTATGCTACAAGCGATTGAAAAATATAAGGTAATACAGCGATAGAAATATATATGTGTGTGTTTCTCTTGAAAAAAAGCTACCCCCAAAACAGTCTTTTTCCAAAATTTGTGCCTTGTTGTTGTTAGATAAAATATTATAGGCACTAACATAATGTGATGAACCTAATATAGAAATAAACAAGCTCGTACACTAGACTTTTATCAATTCAAGCGTCAACTAAGAGTCTTAAAGCAGCACGACCCAAAGGACGAACAGTATATGTCAGCAGGCTTAAATGTCGTGGCTGTTCAATGCGTTGCTAGATTTCAATACACAAATCACCACATTCTCACCAGCTGATAAAAGTAAAACAATAAAAGTATATTTATTACTCAAATATTGAAATAAAAACTCAAATCTGAAATAAAGGAATTCGAAAATCACACAATCACGAGGCCCAGTCTCCATAACGATCAGACGCCTATTTTAAACGACTCGACCGACGAATCGACATCTCTTCCTTCTTCATTGAAGAAGAAGTTTCATCTGCTACTTAACTAAATAATCAGAAGGAATTGTGTCATCGCTCTTCATCGGGATTCTCAAAACTGGATGGCGCATCCTGATGAGATGAATCCGATACGGGTTCAGACTTTTCAATTTCCAATTGCTTGCCATCCGATTGTACAGTTTTAGGGAATCGCGCCATTGGTGTCGAGGATTCTCGACCATTGGGATAACGAATTAACAAGTACTTGGTGTTAGCTTCAAGGAGTTCAACTTCTTCACAGAACGGGTTACCGCCATTCAAAAGCCAGTCTGGTCCGGACTTTCCAAGCATAGACCGTCTTTCAAAATTGAACAAGCGATTATGTGGCGTAGTACCAATGGAGGTTCAGAGAAGTGATCTTGTCGCATGTAGAGCGTCTGGCTGAACTTCCTCCCAAGCACTCCCGGGCAGATTTCTTGATAGCTAAATTCCCTTTCGGGTGCTAATGTGTCGTGTTGCTAGTCGCTATACCCTTTCTTGTAAGAAACTGTCTCAGTTCATTAGCCAAAAAGAAAGATCCTCTGTCGCTGTGAACATATTCCGGTAAACCTACAAAAGAAAATAATGATGCACAAAAAGCTACTATACTAGTCCAATATTAGTAGTAAATATCGTCGTTTTCCCGCGAAGGGACCTTTAAAATCAATTTTAATTCTCTCCCACGGCCGAGTATCTTTTAACCAAGTGATGACCCTCATTAAATCTTTAAGAGTTGGATTTTATATGGGCACATTGTCGACAATTAACACATTCCTTCTTCACGTTATCACCAGAAAGGGCAAAGAATTAGAGCGTATAAAATGAACTAATCGACGAATACCAGGATGACCCAATCGAGCATGAACTTCTCTCAGACCCATGGTGCAACAAGGGTTGCTAACACAAAGTCTTGACAATGCGTCTGGTGCCACATTTTCTACACTAGGGCGATGGACAATTTCATAGTCAAATACAAAAAGTTCTTGTTTCCACAATTGTAGCTTTGATTTTACTTTTATGATTTTTCCGAAAAATGTTTGCCAAAGCTTTTTGATCCGTTAGCAATTTAAACTTTTTTCCATGCATGTCAGCTTTTTTCAAGATATCACCATTTTCTTACATCTTCAACAATCGCTGCCGCTTATTAGTTATCGATTTTAATCGGTAATCGGCGTTCCTCTTTGACTCAAAATGGCTGCAAGGTCAAATTCAGACGCATTACACTCAATAACAAAAGAGTCATCTACATATACGCATCCCAAGCACGCTTTCAACAAATCAGCCTTCACTAATTAAAAGAACACACCAAATGCCCAAGGAGTTGCAGTTCAGTCACTGAAAATACAGACTTAATTCTTATTTAATGTCAAACCTTGCCGCTCCGCAGCATTTATAAAGAATTTTAATCATCATCCCCATAAAATGTGACGTTATCTAGGTAAGCAAGGGTTCCTTTAAGATTCTTACGCCACTCCAAAGGGAACCCTGCAATATCGATATAAGGAGCCAGCAGCTTCGAACCGAGTATAAGGTTTTTCAACGTCAGAAATAGGAATTTGGTGATAATCCGAACGTAAATCAATAGTGCAGACCTATTGTAGATCTTTCCTTCGGCAACCTCGTTAATTATGTATTTATGCGAGGTAAGGGATACGCGTCAAAAGCAGTGTATCTATTTATTGTTTTAAATTATTTATTGTTAGTCAATAACAAAACGTTTTTTATGGCTTTGGTCCAATGCGACCAATACTTCAGCGCGCCACGGCGAGTCTGACCGTACTATAATGCCTTCCAGCAACAAACGAGCAATCTCATTTTCAATGAACTTCAGATCATCAGAACTGTAATTTCTGGACCTGACAGCAATGGGCTTACAGTCAATAAATCGAAAAATACGCACAAGTTCACTTACTTTTGCGCTAGCCAAATTGCAGACCTGTTTACGATCGCACAAGGAGTCGTAGTCTCGTTGAATTTGAAGACAACTTCTCGATGTTTACTCAAAAAATCTTGGCCCAGTAGGATGTCCGCCAACAGAATTTTCACCACATCAAACTTTATTGCACGACAAACTTTTGTTCCAACCTTTAGAGGTGCATCAACCAACCCAATTGTTTGTGCAACTGCTTCGTTTGAAGCAAGTTTGGTGTAATACAAGTATACAACCATAAAGGCTAAGGCCGAGACTTTTTGCCACGGATGTCTTTATGCAACTCTGCGAAGCTCCGGTGTCTAGTAGAGCCATCAGAGAGTTTTCCGCAATTTTAGCTGTAATAGTTGATCATGACAACGAAATAGGAACAGCGGCCATAATTGAAGTAGGGTACACATAATATATAAACTACAATATCGCGTGTTTATAAGAATACCGAATTTGGCGCACAAATCCTAGCATTTTACAATTGTTTCATTTTTATTGTAATCGAAGACAGACTTGTGCGCACGTCAATAAATCACAGTGGACATGAAAGGGTTTCAATTTGCGCCGACTTGGTGTGCTAATAACACGTCGGGGATGTACAATTTATAATCAAAAATAAAATCAAAACAGCCGACATGAAATATTTAAATCAGAGCCAACTCGAAAAATAAAACACGATTTTCAGTCTTAATTCCGTTTCTTGTGCTTTCGTAGTTTCAACTGTTTTGCTATTTCTAAACAAGATATATATATAACTTTTTCAAATTCATGTCTCCCCATTCTTCTTTGTTCAATTTGATTGTCTTCATTAATTCCAATAAGTTAGTCCATTTGTTAGGTGCTTTCATAGTATTTGGCATTGAATTTGTATAGAGATGATTGTTCAGTGTCCGAATTCTTGTTCTCAAACTATGTAATGCTTCGAAATGCCAAAATTGAGACGTTTTTCCAAGGATGGCCAGTTTTGCAACTTTTTCAGCTTTACAGGATTTTATTTTTGCTTCCAGATCAATTGTTCCAAATCCACCATGAAGTTTGTTTTTTTGAAGTTAAGTTCTTTTTATTGCTTCAAATGTTTCCGGGTAGCATAAAAATTTATAAATGATGGCAATAATTTTCATTATCTGCTCCTTGAATACTGCTATTGTTCTTGCGTTGTGGAGAATTTGGGATACAGCCAAGGAATTTAATATATATATAGTGCTTTTACTGTACCATGTTAAAGTTCTTGTTTTACATATATTCAATACTATTGTGATTTTTGAGATCTTCTCGTTCCATGTTAAAATTTCTTTGTTTTTACCAAAGTACACTCCTAACATTTTTATATGATCCTTGATATATCCTTCATATATTGTAATATTCACCACATCCATTGCTCTTTTGTTTATGCATAATATTTCCGTTTTATCTTGGTTTATTCCTTGACCAGTGGCTGATCTAAATTTTTTCTAATTCCGCAAAGATATTATCAATTGAGTGAATGTTCATTGTCGTAAAACCCAAATCATCACCGTACTGATCCATTTTATGTTCGTTTTTCCCCAGCTTGATATCATTTATTAATTTATTTATTTCTATTGACCTTGCTAGTGGTTCCGTGTTGATCGTATATGAAAGCATGCTCAAAGGTTCTGCATCCCTGTCGCAGTTCTCTTTTACTCGAAGTCATATATATAGTCATTTTTCAGTATTTAGGGATGTCCGTATCCGAATACTAAAATATTCTAGACTGCTTCTGAAAAAACATTTCGGATATCGTTTAAACTAAATTAACAGAACCAAATCAATACTGTTTGATTAACTTTTTTCCCAACACAGGTGAAGTTATCCAAAACAGTTATTTTTAAATAAAACAAACTGTTGCCATTATTACAGGTTTGTAATAATAGTTGTTGGAGTCAATCAGTGTACATTTAAAATTATCAAAATAAGTCATTAAACAGATTTTTTTGAAATTGCACACTTCAACCGGTGCTTTTGTATAACCAATCATGGTTGCAATGTATGAATTTGAATGCTTCCACGTGCTTTTCAGTTAAAATAGTATGGAATTAAGATGACATGTGTTGCAACTTGCAAGCATCGCGGTACATTTAAATCACTTGAATAAGCTGATATTTTACAAACAAGATAAAACCGACAAATAGCTATACCAATCAGAGACAACCTAATTGAACCCACAAATTGCCGAGCGAATAAGCAAGATTTGCGTTGGAATAAACAGCTAATATTGTTTGTAAAAGCCGTTTCAATTAAACATTGTTTTTCGTAAACTTCCAATAAATCCGCTTGTTTTTTTTTTAATTTTGTTGCCATGTTTTGAAAAGAGCGTTTCCGTAATTCATTAGGAACATATTTGAACACAATTTTCTTTGTCTGATCTCGAATCTAGGCGAGACGCTTTAGCGGAGAATAATTTCCTATGAAATTTTGATAAAACCGACTGCGCTTTCCACAACACTAATTTTGTTATTAAAATCGCCGATTTATTAAAAATCGGAAATTCCTATGAAACGGTTTCTAAAACGGTCGCCGAGATTATGTGTTCGTTAAAACAGCTGACATTTTCAGCGTAATGACTTCAATGTGGCTGAAATATTTAATCCGCGACAACTACGGGAATTTTAAATGTCTATATGAATTTAATTGTGTTGAGTGAAACTCGTTGTTGGGTCGACTTGCGACAAAATAAACGGTTTCTACTGTAATACACCACGGTAATCTGTGGACATAATAATGTGAGATGAAGTTGCGTCAACAAAATGAAAGCGTAATACTCTACTTACCACGGTAATCCGCAGACATAAAAGTGTGCGGTAAAGTGCTTGATAATATGGTGTTTTTATTTTTATTTTCGCGAATTCGACAAATATGAGCTGTACCTGTAACATTGACACGGCTCCATCGGCTCTAATGCTTTTAAGATATCACCGTTAGACGAATCCCTGCGTCAGCAAAAAAATTTCATGGAGTTAAATTTATTTCAAAAAGTTAATTGAAGATACTTTACCTTGAATATTTTATATAAAAAGTTACGCTAGTTCTCCGTCGGTAGTTTCAGAATGAATAAAAAGTGCCTGGCTCGCACAATTGACAAAAAATAAATAAATAATATGTAATTTTTATCTTTTTCGAGATTTTTATCTTTCTCGAGACATTTGTCTTCCGCTATTTGTGATTTCGGAAGAATGAAAGGCAAAATAAAAATCATTACTGGCTGAATAACACGTCACGCTGACGAAAACAATCGGCTACTCCAATAACAACATTAGCGCTGTGAATTGTCATCAATTGTACATTTCCACCGGCAGAGGGTACCCAGCAGAGCTAATGTGTCGAACGATTCAGTATATCCACTTATCGACGTACCGAAAAAGATCGCCCGGCGACGTCGCAAGTTTTGCACACTTTAAATTACGATTAACCGAAATTGGAAAAAAGTATTGGAATACAGCTCTAAACGAAACAAAAAACGGAAACGATAGGGACATCCCTTGTCATCAACCCATTGAATCTGTTTTAATATCATTTTGTGGTTTTAGATCACCAGTCTTCTGACGGTACCATCAATCCTAATTCAACTATTTAACGATGACACCACCGCAAATTACGATGTTACCAGTCTCAAACAAGTAACATGCGGTGGGGCAGCTCTTTCTCAGGACATATTAAGAAAAATAGCACAAAAGTTTGATGTTCTCATAAGACCAGGTAATTGTTAGTTAACACAGGAACTGTTTTTTAAACTGATCACACCCACAAAGTTTCGGATATACACTACGGTGTTATACTAATAAAATAGACCTGGGGTCCGCAACCTACGGCCCGCGGGCCGGATCTGGCCGCGGAGTATAATAATCCGCCCCCGTGATGCTTCACTGAATTATAGCGATAAAACGGCGGTTTCGACAATAAATTGATTTTTATAATCCACGCTTGAGGAGTTGATTATATTCTTTACGTAACAGAATTTATTCTGAGACATGTGTTGATTATATTATTAAATTATATTGTACACTAACAATTTAGTGAACAGCTACACTAGGAAATCTCTATCCAAATTTGACAAACCATGCGAAAAAAATTACATTGATGTCTGAAAGTACATGTGCGTTCGAATTATTTTCGATAATTAACATTACAAAAAACAATCTGAGAACTCGGATTAGTGATGTCCTTCAAAAACAATTCCTAATCTTGCCTTTGTCCTGTGTGCCGCCTGATTTCGAAAATTGAGTTGAGTTCATGACTTGTTGCAGTCTTTGCCCACAGTTTAAACTTCTTAACTGTGTGGAAGAATTGTGTTTTATCAGCCATCCTTTCGGTTTGAACTTTCTAAAAATATGTGCGGCCCACCAAGACTTACAATCCGCAATTTTGAACCGCGAGCGACAAAAGGTTGTCGACCCCTGTAATAGATTAAAAGAGGTTGGTCTGTGCAAGAGCTAAATAGACACGTCGTCTTACACTAATGTGGTGTGATACATTACATATGCGTACAAGCTTTTACCCATCCGTTTGAACCTATT